AGTTTTCCTTTGGGAACAAGCAGAGAAGCTTTCTTGTAGGAGCTCTGCTTCTTTAAATAAAAATACTTAATTTATGCCATAAGTTTCCTTCCTTATAAAAGGAGAAAGTATCCTCCATAAGTCAAGCAAAAATGTTCCTAGGAGTCAAGTACAAAAGCTGTTTCTTCAAAGCAGAAAGATAAGATGTACTTTAAAGAGATACTTCCAGAGAAAGAAGAAAAAGAGTTCAAGTCTAGGATGAATACAGCTTGGATATATGAGGCAGTTTCTTCTTCTGGTGTCTCAGCAAGAATGGAAACCTTTCTCCTGAGAATACGCTGCCACGGGGACCGAGCACGATTGTTTTAATCTGATGTGAGGGACGAGGATCTTCAGCCAAAGCTGGGAGAGCAAAAAAGTAAGGACAGAAAGTTGTCTTCTGAAGTGGAGATTGTTACCAGTCCTATTTACCCCAGTCCTATCCCTCCAGAAAGCAAAAAAGAGATCTTTCTAAAATGAACCAGCAAAGAAAACCAAGATTAGGTGCAAAGTGTTGGCAGGAGGTTCTGTGCCTGCCCAGGAACAGGCACAGACTCCTCGCTCTTTCCAAGAGTAGCTGTAGATGAAATGAGAACTTTGCAACACTGAACCACCTTTTTTTTTTTTTTTTTTCCTGCAGCTTTTTTACATTTAAGTCTTTTGCACCACACCAGAAGGGACTGCTCGTTTCTGAAGGTTTGACTTAGATCTGCCTATGTTAAAGGAACAGAAGAGATCATAGCCCAGTTTGGCATAATCCATGACAGCTTTAAGTAAAGCAGGTACGGTACCACCACCATCACCTGCCGAACTGCCAGCAAAATTCCCTCTCCTCCTTGGGGCATCACTAAAAGCAGCATCATGACTAAATTCGGCTTGATGGGAATGCTGCACCTGAAGGACGTTCCTTGACCTCCTGGAGATTTAGTCATCTAGCAGACATGTCTGATGTGAACCAAGTCAAACCAGCCCACCGGGATACACAGTTACACGCTTGACCTTAAACACCATGAACTACTCATTCTTCACAAAACGCTTTTTTCCCTTCAGTCCAGCAGAGGATTCACACCCCAGCTATTTTCAGAATGACTGCATGTGTTGAGTTTAACTACTTAGCTGTGTTCCTTACTCATGAACGTAGTTATAAAATGTTTGGGGTTTTGCTTAACTTCTTAGAGCAGAAAAAAATACTCTGCCCTCAAGCAGCATGTAATTCAGACTAATAACCGAACAGGTTTTAGAAAGTGATAAATCAGAATTACAGGGTACACCAAAATAATACCAAGTGACCATTAAGCCTGCATTGAACTTGCAGAGATGAAGGAATGAGATGCATCTATCTATGAACATTAGTATTATTTACTTCCAAATACCGAATCAACCCATCCGCCTGGACCCTGCTACGCGATGTGTGCACCCAGACCCAGCATCCAATCTTTCCGGTGGTCCCAAAGAGAAACAAGCGCTGGGTGAGAGACAGGGATGGAGATTTTCACAGGAGTGCAGTTCACTCCTTCATTTCCCAACCACATCATGGGCAAGACCCAAAACTCATCTATGAGGCCAGGCACCAGCTGCTGGTGTCCTACCACAGGCAGGTTTCTGCCAATGCTCTGCAGCCACCCAAGTTTAGATCTTCTTTACAGAAGACACATCAAGTACCTCTTGAGCACCTAGGACCAAGTGGTCAGAAGATATGGTCAGAGTCATCTGAGATCATGAGAAACTGGTAATGATATTTTGAGACTTCTTTAACAGATAAGCTACCTGACACATGCAGATCCATGCAAAGCATCTGGCAACTTCTGATGGAGCCTTCCTGCAAAAACAAAACTAAAAGCATTTTCAAGACTACAGAAAGTCCATAAAAATAATGAAAAGTAATGTAACCGCCCCCTCTCCTCTCACACAGCCCAACACTCTGGCTCGTTCACCACTTCTCTCTGTGTAATTAATTACTGCAGTAGCAGCAAATGTGGCTCCAAGTGCTGCTGAATGCCAGAGCTAACTGGAAAATGAAAAACAGGAAATTACTGGAGAGTGAGATTTCCCATCCAAATGTTGATATTAAAAGTTCCCAACCAGCCAGCAAGTCAATAATGGAGATGAATGAGGAAACAAAGATTTTCTGTGGATTTTTTTCAACAACTCATTTTCAAGCTACACAGATATAGTGCCTTTTCAAATTTTAAATTAGAGGCTGAAGACTTAAATTAGCCCTTAGGAAGTGTCCTTGATCCAAAACTAACGTGGAACACAACTTGAATATTGTTTTCTCTCTTTAGCTTTAAAGCCAAGATGCTTCCAAACTAATTTTTTCACCCATACAGTTTTTAAGAAATACAAACATTTCACTTGTTTCCTTAAACGCATTTGAGGGTTTCATCAAAAAGTTAAAAACATTTCTTTCTTGCTCTAATGATAAAGTTTTGCTTTCAGAAGGGAATATCATTTGGTTTCCACAGGTTTGTTTTTGACAGCTACTTAAATCTGTAAGAAAACTGTCTTTCTCTATGTAATTTTACTAAATGGCGTTCACTAAAAAAAACAAAACACATTCTGATAGAAAATGTTGGCCAGGTACTTGTGATCCCTATGGTTCGTTTTGGGGTCTCTGAGCAAAAGCATCTCATGGGCAATTATTCAAGCAAACACTCCCACCCCCAATGTTCCTGCTCAGCACCGCCCAGAGCTCCTGACGTGGTGCACACAACACAGGATCTATAAAGTAAATACTCAACGAACAGAAAATCAAACCAGAAAATTTCAACTAAAAAAAGACAGAAGCTACTTGGAAATTTCAACAGGACCATTTTAATGTCCAGTACTTTGATTTCTTATGAGGTTTTCTGTGGACTATGGTTGGTTTTTTTTCCTCTTATCTTTTTCACAGCTAGATCCAATCTTCGCTGGCACCTTAAGCTTACCGCAGCAGTACTGTCTGCCTGCAAATATTTGATCATTAACAGATGAAAACACCCAGTGAAATATCAGCCTGCATATGAAGGGAAATCACCTAGGATTTAATCACAGCTGGAACCTGAAGTTTGTCATGTTCCAGAAAGACATCATCTGTATTTGAGGTATATTAAGAAGCAGAATATGATGTAAAAACCAAAACTACACCTGCAATAAATCCCAGAGAGCAAATCCGAGAACACATATCAATAGCTAAACAAAACAAGGAAAAAAACATCCTCCAGAAGGAAGTCTCAATGACATTCAAGAAAAATCAAAATTTAAAAACAATCTTTCTCAACCCTTCCTGCTCAGGCCATGTAGCATCCCAGTCTTGAGACTGCTTTTCCTGCCAACAGGAATTGCACAGCCATGTCTAAAATTAAGAATGAAGGAGAATCTAATAGACGGATGCTGGGGTAGGAGACGAATGTTTTACTGGCATCCAAAAGAAGAGACTGAAATGTCTGCTCTTGGGGTTTTTATTGAACAGCTACACAGGGCTGACCTACAAAATGCCTTCAGCACCCGCGTGTGCACGCAGGACTCCGGGGCCGACCGGAGTGCTGGGACCACGACCTGCACCGCTCAGCCCCGGACGCTGCCTGGACCGGGCATCCTGCTCGCCCCTGGCTGCAAACCTGGGCCCAGCCCCGGCACAAACACTGAAGGCTTTGCGTGGTGTGCTTATACGCAGTCGTTACGGCTGCCTGTTCAGTTATTTGACTCCAACAAGTTAATGAGCAATTACTTCCTAATTCAGTTATTGTTCATAAAGGATTTATGAATTTGGCATCGGTATGTTATAGCTCATTAAGCACATCATGAAGCTAATCGCACACACTAGGCAAGAAAATCCCCCAAAAGGCAGATGTACCCCTCCACCACTCCCATAACTAACCCACAAAAATTGTCACCACTCAAGTCTCGGAATTAACATATTTCCTAAGGTTCATCTGACAGAGAGACGGGAATTTTGGGGAAACACAAGCCCCGTGCTTGTACAGCCCTAAGACAGTCGGGTTTCTCTTTGAAGGCCTCAGCAGACTACAGGCTAACTTCGAGCTCCAGCTATTTGTTTAACTATATTTGTGGTATGTAAACACATTTGTTTACACAGCACTACCTGCGTTAGAAGAGTTTCCAAACGTATATTGCAAAGACTTTCCATCTTTGCAGCAGTTCAAGCAGATTTTGAACAGTTTTTCTTAATTTGAAGTGTACACAAACCCATAGTTGGTTGAGGCATTCAGGTCCCTTCACCGACAGCTGAGTCCAGTCACATAATTTACAGAGTCAGATGCAACATTTACTATTAAACCTACAGCAACAAACTACCTGATCACAAGCGAGCACCATGCGTGCGTTATTTTTTTTATTTTTTTATTTTTAAATTCAATTTTGTGCATTTATTGCAGAATGATGTTTTCAACTGTTTCCTCTTTTTTTATCAGGTCTGGTGACCAATTGCATTGCAATCCCAATACTTCATATTTTTCACTGCCCAACATTTCAAGTGCAGCGTTTCAAACTGCGTGTAACAGGAAAATGAAGAGATTGCTATTTAAAAAAAAAAAAAAAAAAGCGCAACATCTTTCAGCAGCAATTAAAGCAAAATACCAAAAACCATCTGTCCTCGCTCCCATATCAGTTTCAAGGGCAAGCACAGCCAAAAGTACAAGAGATTAAGGGCCGTGCCACGTACTAGATCGTCACCCTCTGCAAGCTGCAGACAAATCTTCCTCTGATATCTAAGCAGGCTGAGTTGTATTTGAGCTTCATCTTTCTTAGCCCAGTATTGTGATTTTCTTTACAGATATTTCCATATGTGAGCAGCCCCACCTGACATCAGTGGGAGCAGCCACACGTCTTCTGACCATAAATACTCCCAAAAGCTGCAGAATCTGCCCTAAAGTACTGTTTAAAACTGGACTTCACAAAGAGCTGGTCACTTTGTTGTAACGCCAGATATTACAAGAAGTTAATAAAAAGCATAGTAAGAACTTCCCAAGCGGTTTACTTACAGTACACGTCCACTCTTATGGACTTTATGGCTGGCGAACCCAAGCCGTTCTCAGCCTTGCAGTAGTAGCGTCCTCCTTGGTGTCGCTGGATGTTGGATATCCTCAGGGTTTCATTGAAGACACTCGAATCTTGAAATCTGTCAGAGGCACTTCCTGCTGTTTTGGTCCACCTGATCTGAGCAAGCACCAAAAAAGATTGTTACTTTAAGTCTGTGAACGTGAGCAGAGTCTATAGATTTCTTCACCAAACCCAGAACCACGTGTGCCCAGAACCACGTGTGCCAGGATTTTATGCTGGAGGACTCGGAGAACTTCTCCAGAAAGCTGAAGAGCTCACGCTTACAATCAAACACTTCATCCAAGAACCCCTGATGAGTACTCTTGCATTTATCACTCTCTCTTAGAAATAGCTGATTACTTTTGATGGAAACACCTCATAAAAAATAAATGCCGCTAGCAGAGACAGGGAGAACAACTCAAGCCACCATCAGTGACACACAGCTGGAATGGCTGCAGAAAAATTCCCCATGAACAGCAACAAGCAGAGCTCACCAGAAAAGGTGGCTGTTCTCATGTACTGAACATGGACAGATGTCATTGAAATCACGAAAGATGTGGGCACATTGAAAAGCACCTTCAAAACAACTGGTGGATTATCTTTTAGCAGCAATAAAATCCAATTTTAACGAGTCAAATGATCAGTTGCTTGAAACTGCAACTACTAACATCTCTTTCTTCAAATAGGTGGTTTGGGTTTTTTCATGTCATTTATGGCAATTACAGATTCCTTTACTCTGATAATTATTTTCCAAAAGCGAAGGCTTTTTGAAGGGAACTTTTTAATTCCAAACCCATAAAAATGCCAGCAACAGCCCACTACAGCCCACAGCTGCACAGAGGTGGATACCCACATTGCTAACACCCGTGCTTGATGACCTTTAAAGGTCCCTTCCAACCCAAACCATTCTACGATTCTATGATAAAAAATGAGATTGACACAAGACAAGATAATAAATATTTGGATATTAGTTCCCAGCCTGCAATCCCTAAAGATTGTCCAAAGGTAGTCAGTGAAGCCATGATTTAAAGAACAGCATTCAGGCACTGATCTGTTTGGATCTGCTAGACAAGCTGTCTCCAAGCAACCTTGAGCTGGTATTGGCTTGGTTTGGACAAGGTGTTGCAGCCGTGGCAGCTCATGCCTGGACCATCGGTGAGAGCTTGTCTCCGTGCCCAGCCAAGCCTGAGCTGGACACGTTGAGCTTCGAGCCCTCTCCTGCACAAAGGAAGGTCCCATGGCTGAGCCAGGCAGCCCTTGGTGGACACCAAGGTGGCCCTAAGGGTTGCCTTGGCTGGAGGGAGATCCTTCTCCCAGGGTGCAGAGACACTTGAGTTGTGCCATACCCAGTCCTGACCCAGACCTGGGGTCTGGATCCCAGTAACCTGCACGAGAGCAGAAGGTGGGCAGGGGTCAGCCTTCCTCTCCATGTGAACTTCTGGGCAGGACGGGTCTTCTACAAAAGGCACTGCACTGAGAATTTCATGACAAGCTGTAGCCCATACAAATTCTCTCTCCCTTGAGAGAGAGGATGAAATTACAGCAAACAATAGTTCCAAAAAATCTTCCCGTCTTTCTGGCTTGTTAAATTCATAAGTCCAACTGGCTTTGCCCTCTTGCCTGGTGACCTGCATAACTCTGACACTCCCTGCTGCCCTGGGATAAAGCAAATATGCCAAACCCCACATCTACAACTTTCAGTCTGCGTGCGAGAGAGACGCTATTAGCACTGCTATATTTACCAGTCTCAATCTGTCTGTACTTCTATTCTAAACTCTTGGCTCCGGGGCTTTTTAAATCATCCATAGAAATGCGCTGCAGGATAATTTTGGAACACACACTCAGCTTCTGCATGCTGCAGAATACAATTTCATCATATAGATTTCAAATGCTTGAGAAGTATTTTAAAACAGTATTTAAGATGTTCACGGAATCTCTTGTGTGTTTTACTTCCCTTTATGTAATCAGAATTGTTAAAAGAGCTCTGTTTGCTTTTTAATTGGAAAAAAATTAACAGCATCTCTACTTTAGCATTTACTTCTCTCTTCCTGCCTTTCCTCTCCCACAAAGCGTTTCAAGCAGAATGCAGTCTGCCCTGTCAAAAGAACGTAATACTTAAATAATGCGTTATAAATACTATCAGCATCTATGGAACTGGTAACGTTACATCACTTACGCAAAGAAACATAGCAAAGTTTAGTCAGTGTTTTATTTTTTTTAATGAATGCAAAAGTCTTCCCCCCTCCACTGCACCTTAACATTGATGTGTCTGTCTTCTCTTTACTGTAAGGGATTTTAACAGGATCCTAGGTGGCTGTAAACAGAAGCGGACTTTTCAGCTTTAAAGAAATACACATACATGTCTGGCTTAGAGGAAAGAAGAATAATTTTAACAAATTAAATAATTTTGTACTGTATTGTAGGGATCCCTGAAGAATAAAAGGAATATTGTTGACTAGATCCTCTCTTAAAAGATATCCTCCAGGAATGTCACTGCTCGGATTTAATGTCAGTTCATTATTTACCTTAGCTTTAACTCAACATACAGACAAGACCGCGGTGATCAATACTGCATTGTAATTTATTGAATGCGCGTGAAGAAAGATGACTCTCAAACACCATGCTAATGCAGCAATCAAAAAACTGGGCCCAGGAAAGCCAGATGTCTGAGGCTGAAAACCTCTTCACAGAGAGGTCCTTGGCAGTTTCACCCGTTGCGAGCTCCAGTCCACGCTTTGGGGTGGGTGACCTCCAATGAGATCTGAGACCATCAAATCCATCCTTAGAGATGGAGCATCTCACCGCTCTGGTGTCCAAGTCCTCACCACTGCTTACGGCAGTGACCTTGAGAGCAACGGCTGCCACAGCACGGACCTGATCCCATTTTCAAGGTGGGGAGCAGCGGCAAAGGGGGACCAGGGGCTTGTGGAACATCGTGGCAGGGATCGGCCTCAAACCCCACAGCAGCCTCCACACTTCTTTACGGCAGAGGATTCAGAAAGATCTAGATGACTAGCTTTGTTGTTTGGGTTATTTTATAAAAAAAGCATTAGATTATGTATTCACACAGTTCAGATACTCCAGTATTTTCAAGTGACTTTGCACAAAACAATTGCTCGCCCAGATGCATTTTATCAGTGTTTGCTACTCATAATCTGCTCTGCTGTTCAAAACCTCCCAGGTCCTGGTGCAGAAGTAGCTCTGTGTGTCTACTCAGACAGCGTGGATAACACGGGAAGTAAATAAATTCTGTTCCACTGAGAAGTCGAAGCCATTCTTGCTTGTAATGCAAAGTTTTAATGAAAAAGTTATGTCTGCACATCACGGCCTACCCAAATAGGACTAATAAACGTTAACCCATTACACAGATATGCACTCGCTGCCTTCTCAACACACCACTTGCCAAAGTACTCACTGTTACTCCATCGCACATTTGGGAATCCCACCCGTGTATCGTCATTGCTCTGCCATATGATTAGGGTCTTTAGTTATCAAATATCTCCGTCTTTCCTTTTTTCTCACAAAACATATACAGAAGTAAAAAATGATTTATGAACAAGTCAATTAAAAAATATTCAACTTTTAAAAATTATTATGATCCAGCTAGCCATATCACGACCTATATACTTGTCTGATTTGTATACACACGTAATCTCTCCAACCATCAATATCTTTGACAGTATTTTATTGGCTTAAGGAGATGCCCTGAGACCCGCAGTCACAGTTCATCCGACAGCTTCAGCTTTCTCAGCGAGCTTTCCTGCAACTTCAGGAAGAGTCACAGGCTTTATATTTTTAGACTAAAAACGCAGACTAAAAAAACATAATCTCTGAGCAAACTCTGCCTAACTTTTCTCAGCTTCAACAACGTACTCGTGTCCAAAAAGAAAGCAGTAGAATAAGAAAAATATTTAATTTTCATGTTATAAAAATGAAACGCTTCTGTTTTAAATATTGTCTTTGTCAAAGACAATAAACATTACAGTATCTTTACTCTGAATACAAAACATTTTGCTTCATTGTAAACAATAACCACCAACAACGATCTCCCAAAAAATCCCAACAAAACCACAACCATTTTGCAATGGAACCTTTTCTTTCTTCCATGGAAATACTTGGTGGAAAATGAGTTTTTGACAATCTTTTTCTTATATCACGACACTGAAATCTGCCTAATGCAGAAACTGCAAGTAAATACGTTCCTTAAAATATTCCTAGCAGCTGCACGGGGTGATGGAACCACATCTCACTGCCACTGATTGCAGTCGCTGCCCTCTGACACTGCCAAGAACAGAAGATGAAGAGAACCTCCCGATCACTGTTATAATCCCCAAATCCCTGCCTCAGATTAAAGTCCTCCTTTGCATGCAAACAGCCATAAAAGAGGTCTTTGCACAACTTCACTGGGACGTGCTGGAACATTTCTTCATGCCTAAAGACATCAGAGCCTTTGGAAAAAGCCATCTTAAGCGTACATACCACCTCTCCTCAAAAAAAAAAAAAAAAAACAAAAAAAAACCTAATCCGTTCAATTTCTTTTTCCATGAGATTATTTTTGTTCTCAGGAAAGCAATGGCTGAGGCAGCAACCACTGAAGGCAAGAGCACTTGCCACCTTCATGATAAACACAGAGGACGTAGTACATGAAAGGTCCTTTTTGGGCCAGGAGAAAGTGACTTCTGCTCCTTTATAGTCATGAAATTATCTGAAGTAGGTTTGAGCATATGCATCTCCCCTGACTTCTGTGTTCTATTCAGAGGGGATGTGACCACAGTGCAGACCTCAGTGACCTGCGACATACACCCAAGCTCATTTTAAGGGGGCCAGCCTGGGCTCCAGCTGCAGCCCTGAGGAGACCTCCATCTGCTGCTCTGTTAGACAATGAACCAGGAGCTACACCATATACTTAAAACTCTTCTGTAACTTGGCTCCAATTCACCTCTGAAGTTCCAATACTCCCTTCCTAGCCTCTGAATTAAAAAAAAAATTAAAAATATCCCTAAATGCTCTAAAAAACACCAAAAAAACCCAGAAAGAAAGAAAAAGAAAAAAAAAGCCACCAGGAGAGCACATTCGATCCAAGTTTTCATTGCCTGACAGCAGGAGAGACCATTCATACCTATATGCAATAAGTCAAGTGGAACATGCTTTGACCCTAAACAGCCTTTTTTTCCCCTCAAGCTGCCCCTCCCCTTCCTGCAAGCACGTTGCAGAGCCAAATGGCTGTAGGGAAGATGTAAACCACCACCGCGGGACGGGCAGGGATGGATTGTACCAGGCTTACACGGGCACAGGTCCACAGTGGAAAGCACGTTGTTCAACTCCAAGGTTTCTGCACAGAACTGCTCAACATCCTTGGCACAAGGACCATCACCGGGTGACTCCCACAGCTCCTCATCTCAACGGGTGCCCTCTGACTTGTGTCCAGGCCACTGGACAAGTGTCCAACACTTCTGCAGGGCCCTTTGATGACTCAGGGGACAAGCATATCCAACGTACACCTCCAAGGGTTTCTAAATATCCATCCCCTGGTCACCTAAACCAACTCACAGCTATTCCCGCACCATCCCCACAAGGCAGGAGACACAGCACTGATGTAAACCACCACCGCTCTGCACTTACTTTTGCAGGGAGCCATTTACTCTAGGCAATCTCCCACGTGTTCACCGGGTCATCCTCACCATACGCAAAAGGAAAGCATCCGCATGTCTAAACTACAGGATTAACCACCCCTATAGCTAAATATAACGGGGGGGATGATGTTGCAGTTTGATTTTTAGGAAACCAGAGGCAGCGTGATAAAGCAAGGCCGATGAGACAAAGGGTACAAAACATCTGTCGTTATTGGAATAGATATTGCTACCGGCTATCAATACACAACAGTGGTACGAAAAATTCTCTTCCTATTTATTTCATATGGTAATAACTGAAATACTGGACTTGAAAATGGCTTCAGGTAAAAGTACTTTTCATTGTTCAAAAATTCTTATGTGGAATATCAGAGTGGCAAAGCAGCCAACCCAAAGCAAACCCTGCTTACTGTCAAAAAGAATGATCCTCTATCTTGGCTGGAGCTAGAAAGCTGTTATCAGTGCACAACAAATGCAGAACTGGAGACGCTTGGGTTTCCAAATGTATTTCTTCAAGTTTGCAGTAGCCAAGATGCAATCACCTCGGAAGACTGGGTTCCATCGCTCCGTACCTGGACTGCTCAAACTTCACAGAAACATGAGGGGAAAAAACTGAGCACTGTCCCCAGGTCAGGCACCTGCTGCTGGTGCCTTTATGGGACAACGTGCGTGCTTATGTTCACAAATGTACTAACACTTCAGTAGGCTGGCGTGCAAAAGCACAGTTTTTTTGCTCATCTAACTAAAAGCAGTCTGTGACAGTAACTGTTAACATGCAGGACATGATCAGTTCTGATTCGGTGCCAGAGATCACAGAGAAATTATTTTCCAGCTTGATTGCTGTAACACATAGGAAAAAAAACCGCTTTTATTCTGTAACAGAGGAAAAATTGTGGTTATTAATTACAGAGAAAATCAGCATTAAAACCACAAAGTTACAAGCAATCCAGTCCTAGAGAAGAACTTCAGCGCTTTGCTGTTCACTTCAGCCCAAACCACACCAGCCGTA